AATTATTGCTTCCATGTGCAGTTTTAGATATAGAGTCTGAAAAATCACTTTTTCAGCATCTCGAACAAAAGAAGCATCTTGAAAAGTTTGTTTTATTTCAAAGCTTGAACATATTATTGCGTTTAAAGAAACGTACCATACCTCCAGTTGATTTCAACAGGTTTTTGGTCAGTTATATTTCAAGAAAAAGGTATGAAAAGTTTTCATTATGTACAATCTTATAGAGTTCAGTAAGATCAATGCAACCATATGAGAATATTGCAGATAACATACAATTCGAATTATATCGAACTAAAGATGTCTAAACCGACAAATTTAATTCTGCTCAAAATAAAAACTGAAAACCAAAAAAAAGACAGAACTTTCCTCTATATCTATCATAGTTCTTTGATATATTCAATATAATTACTCCGTAGATGAATATGCTGAAAATGCACTCATATTTTCTAGATGACATTAATTTGATAACTGATGATGCTTTTTTTAATTTTAAAACGTAGTTTTGAAGAAACTCTCAAGAAATAATTAATAAAAAAAAGAGAAAAAGAAAATCAAAAATAGTTTTTTTTCACAACAGAGAAAAATAGACAAAAAATAATTATATATTTTTACACTACTACGGAGTTTTCATTTACTTTGTAAGAGAACTAAGATGACAAATATGACCAACATCTCTTCTATGATCGAACAAAACCGTGCAATAGACTACTATCTCATGATTCGCAGTCCACCTATCGTTAGCTATTTTTATTTATGGGGTTACTTGATTATATTCATTCTTGGTTTTACTGGTAATATTGCTAGTCTCTTGACTTTTATCCAACCTACATTAAGAAATGTTTCGACTGGTACACTTTTCATTGTCTTAGCCATCTCAGATACACTATTTTTGTTTGCATCGATTTTTGATTTCATTGATTTTGGTTTACAGGTATGATACTTATTTTGTTATAATAGTACAAATAGATATTTATTTTTCCTGATCAATAGATACCTCTTAATGGACGTCTAAACTATGATATTTTATGTCGTTATCGAATATTTATTATTTCTATGACTCAAATTTGTTCAGCATGGATACTTGTTATTATTTCAATTGATCGTTGGATTCGTGCACGGTTTCCATATAAATCAATCACACTTTGTACTCCAAAGAAAGCTTTAATTGTTGTTGTAATCTTAGTATTTTTTGATGCCATCATTCATTCACCGATGTTAACCCCATTATTTGGAATGTTATTACCGGGTGTAGCAATTGTAGCCTGTGGTCCAAATGTAAAACAAAAAATTTATCTAAATTTCTATTATTATATATGGACCATTGTACAAGTAAGTCATATTTCTGAATGTTTTTCTTTTAAAAACTTATTGGTTATATTGATAGATATTTATTAATTGTCTCATTCCTGTTGTATTAATGTTACTTATTCTTCTTGATATGTTTATTAATATACGTGTACGGAAGCGAGCTCTTAGTCAACAAATAAAATTTCAAAATCAAACAAGAAATCGTAGTAGAAGTTTTCAAAAAGAATTGTTTTTATTAATGCTTTCAAGTATTATTATATTTTTAACAACAACTCTTCCAATAGCAATCTATCGTATTGTATTTCCAAAACAAGTGTTAACTATGAAAGTTGAAGAATATGGATCAGTTATGAGTATATCAGCAGGTTTAACGTGTTTTTGGAGTTTTAATTATGCCGTAAGATTGTTCTCTATTTTTATTCGATAAACTTTTAAATATGAAAAATTTTGATTTAGATAAATTTTTATATTCATTGTTTAACATCAAAATTATTTCGAAAAGAATTTAGAGAATTAATAAAATTTATTTCAAAAAAAAATCATTCAACAGTTGTACAAATCATTTATACTAACACAACACATTTCACTGCAAAACGACAACAATAACAAGAATTTTCTTAACATTATCTTTTGACAGTCTTGTTTTTAATAATTCGGCTTGATTAAATGTTGTGAAACGTCATTTTTTTTTTCTGTACATTATAACATCTACTTCTCATCAGTCTTAAAAATAAAGTCTTTGAAACTTTTACTATAGATCAATATCATCTAGATCTACGATTAATAAAAATTTCATTAATTTTCTATTAGCTTGAACTGAACTATTAACAAAATACAAGGCGTTACGAGATTTTAAAACAATAGAATCTTTTTATAGCGGAGCAAAGAGTTTAGTATTTTACTATGAAACACAGCGACGTACAAATAAACTTTCTATATAAAAGTATTTCAAATTTTAACAAGCGTAATTGCATCGAATAACATACTAGAAAGAATGTTCATCATATAGTTTCATTCTTTTCTCGAAAATCTTACTTCGGTACAGAATCAAAGTGAACAGCAACCAGACATTTGCCGCCAGCATTGGATTATGCATCAAATGATGTATTTTTCACTAGAATCAACAAAAAAAACTTTTCAACCTGAGGAATATAAAAATTGAAGTTTTAATCAATTAAATACTTCTCTTTGTTGTGAATTTTATAGTAATTCCAAATATATGTATACTCATGAATAAAAACAGTACAAAAGGCTTGATGCAAAGTTCCGATACTAATGCAATTTTGTAACACAATATTGCTAGAACATGAATGCAAATATTAAATCAAACTGTGATCAAAACGAATGTATTCAATGGAACTTGTTGAATTCTATTTGGAGACATCGTTTTTGCTGCGAAACTTAGAAACACAAGCGAACAAAATACATCAAACTCGAGTTTCGTTATGGAATTTCATCGAAAAATAGAGATTTTTCCTAAACATCTAACATGTGCACGAAAGCCATATGTTGAAAGCGTACTTCACATCAATCGATTAATAACTAATTGGTGAATTCTTTTTCCTACTAATTGATCCTTGTGTGACGATGTAGTTCACTGCCATCTTTAACACAAAGTCCACTTTAAAGAAAGATTTCATATATCTAGTACATTCAAAGCTGCTTAGGAATAGTAACTCTTCCATTTCAAATACTATTGATTGTTCTTTTTTCAATAATGTAGACTTAGTTTTGTTCATTCCTAAGTTTGAACCGTTCCCATCTATAAGTGATTGATAGCTAATCATGCCGAACTATTGTTTAGTATTTCAATTTATTCAAAGAAAATTCGAGTTCATTAAAATTAAAAAAAAAGAAAAGTTTTCATCTAACTGTCATCATTCCTCGTTTAGCAATTGTATCAGCTATAAGTATTTCCTTTTTAGCTCGAATTGTACAATCACCAACATAAGGTACACTTTCTGGATGTTCAATATGATATTGTTGTTGTGCTTGAGTTTTTGACCATTGATCTTGAAGATCGAGTATTTTACATTCTCTAAGATGATTATCTAATGTATGAGTTGAAATTTGATTATTATTTTTTTTGGAACGTTGTGTTTGAGGTATTGTTTCATGATAGGAAATATCTTTAAACGAACGTTGATATGTTGTACGTGTATCAAATTTTGGTTCAATAAATCGAGCAACAACTTCTGGACCAGGTAAACGTAAATTTGTTTTAACTGAACGTGGAATTTGACCAGGAATTGAAAGAAATGGATCCAAAGAATTTGTATATGAATGAATTGTTTGTTGTTGAGATAAATCATTCATTGTTGCATTTTGTTCATTTTTAAATGGTGAATCATAAACACGAACTGTTGATCGACGCGAATAACCATCTGTATGTTCATTAATATATTTACTTGTATATAATTCATCATTGTGTGACGGGCGAAGAACTGGACTAACAAGAACATCATTAGTTTTCCCTTGAGTATTATTAACTGATTGATTTTGTGTAGTTTTTATTGGATAACTATTTAAACTTCGTACTCGTTCTAGATTAGTATTATATGTCGTACTCATTAAACGAGTTGCATCAATACGTGCATTAGGTAATAAAGTATTTTCTTGAAGAAATTTTTTAGTATTATATGCTTGACCATAGATGGATTCACGTTGAACAAATTGTTTATTACCTTCTTGTGTTCGAGTATCAACAGTAGCAGCATCATTTGGTACACGTAATTTATTTAGAAGACGATTCTAGATAGATAAAAATAAAAAATATTTTCATACTTGTTTTGTTTTGTTTGGTACGTCAATTTCATGATATATTCCTTTGATTATTATATTATCGAAAGTCTCGATTTTTAATAGAATCAAAAGAATCAATACAAATTTCTTTTTTTTTAATGCTAAATTATTTTGAATGTTTGCTATAGAATATTGAATTTATTTGAATACTTCGCCTGCCTGATGTAGTATGTGTAAATCAAGTATGCACGGTATACATAAAGGGTAAACATTAAAATAATTTTTCAGTTCTGTCAATGTTATTAGAACAAAGACGAATGAAATACTTGAGTGTTTTTTAATTTAATGGTATGAAACTATAAGTGCTCACTATCAAAAACTAAGTCAATCGACTGAATATTCTTTTTTTTTGTCTTTGTATTAGTTGAATAGATGAATAAACTAACCCGCATATTTTGATAATCACCAATTGCTCTACGTTGAAACAATATTGGTTTAGCTCGTTGCTGATTTTGTTCGACTGTATTTAATATATCATTGACATCATATTCATTGTTTACTGTTGTTATATATCCTTGTTGATTTTCAAGTTCTGGTATAGCTTGAACAAGTGAATTCGGTTCATAATTTTGAGTATGATAAAGACCTGATCTTTCTTGAACATATGTGCCCATTTGATCATATAATGCGTTGACATAATCATCACGATATTGAGGTAAAATAGGTCGAGCATGACGTGGATGTTGAAGAGTTCGAAGTTTAACATTAAGTAAATTTATATTTTCAGTTGGACGAATAACTTCTAATTGTTGAAGACGATTTTCTGCATCCATTTGTTGATGACTTGCATAATGATCACGAGCTAATTGATTACTTGTCGTTGATGGCCGAATAGGATGAAGAAAACGAATTTCACAAGTTTTAACTTGATTATCATTTAAGTTTTCCTGTTGAGCTGCAAACAAAAAAGGTCATGAGAATTAAAAATAAAAACAGTAAGAAAAGTTTACTTACGATTCCATATTGGTGCTCGATCAGTTGGATAACGATGTTCAGGAAGATTAACATAATCTGTTGCATGTCGCATATGATCATCAAGTTTTTCATCTTCACTCATTATTCTAGACAACAGAAAAAAAGCAAAAATGTTGAATATTTTTCCTATATTTACTTGATTGTTTCCATTGGTGCATAGTACATTGATGGTTGTTGTCTTTCAATCGTATTTAGTTGCCGATGGTTCTCATTAGCATGAATAGCTTGTATACCTTCCATCAGTCTTGTCGATTCGAATGTCTTGTTTAAATGAGGTTTCTATATATTGTATGAATAAAAACAAAAATTCTTTTTTTTCTTTTCTTGTAAAAAAAAAATACTAACTAGTTGTTCATGGGTTGATGGAGTGGTTGTTGTTGTATTGTGTACAGCATGAGAACTTAATCCTTCTTGATTGAAATAGTTATTTTGATAAGTGCTTTCAGGTGAACTTTTTTCTTTATTTTCACCTGTATCTGTTGTTGAATTTTGAATTAAATTATTATTATTTGGCGCAAACATTTTACGTGGCCAAGGATAAATTGGTGACGATTCGATGTTACTTAATGACCGAGGTAACTAAGAATATTGAAAGAATTTGTAAAAAAAAATAAAAAATAAAATTATTTGAAGATATTACATGCATATAATGTTTATCTGGCCATTTCGAAGTTCGATAGCGTTCTTGCTGCAATCCGTAGTAGTGCACTTCACGACGAAATGGATTACCTATTTAAAGACAAACATTGACAGGGTGTTGCACACAACAGTAACAATAACAACAACTGACACAAGCAAACGATTGTGTCGTAGTTAGAATAATAGCAATTTTTTTTCTAATCAACGACCAAAGCAAATAAAAAAGTAGAGCGCGGGACAGAGAGAAAGAGACGAAAGAAGTCTTGATCGTGTTTCCAATTATTTTTTAAAGAAAAAAAGAACTGCACACTTGGCATTTTTTATTCATTACTTTTTTTTATTTACCTCGAATTTTATGTGTTACTACATAAGGATTGATACAAGTCGAAGGACGATCATTTAAATTAATAGTTGCTGTCGGAAATACAGCTTTTTCACTTATATGTGATGTAAATGGATGATTCGATGGAAATTTCGATGGTATTTCATGAGATGAGATATCAGTTGTGTGAAGTGGCGCAGGTACTCTAAATAGTTATATGAAAATTAAATCAACAATATTGAGGTTAACAGCAAGGATTTTGATAAGTAGTTATAGTTACTGAAGTAGAAGTAATGTTTTTCAGAACATTTCTAAGAATACTTTACTTAAGAGATATGGCGAAACATAAAGAGATTTGTGTTACGTGTTTAGAAACTAACAGAAAGTTCATTTATGAACTAAATTTCTCGTAATTTAGGATGTCAAAATTTCATTGTAATAAAGCTCAAAAGTTTTTTTTTCTCTAGTTTTCGTCAATCGAAAAGTTTTTCAACATACATTATAACTAAGATGATGATAAATATTTGCCTTGATATATGACTTTTATTTTCAAATCTCATAAGTAAATCACTATTATGAATAAATAATCAACTTACAATTCATCATTAATTCGTACATTACTTAATGTTGTATCTGTATTTTGATATGTTTGTGAAACAGGTTCACCTCTGTAATTATTAATCAATAACTAAAATTTGTTTAATGATTCAATATATCTTACGTATAAAGAAAAGTACCAGATACAGAAGGAGGTCTCGATTTGTTATCTTGATTACGAGGTTTGCCTGTGCCCCAATCAATAGCAGATTTCGGACGCTCTTTCTTTTTCGTACGATCCGATTTGAAAAATGCTAAACTCGTCATTTTGCAAGAAATTCGTATTTTTAATGCTTAAAGAAATTCGATTTAACGCTGTTTTTGTTCACCATAACATCACATTTACAAGTAGTAAAAAAACAATTGCTTTATTCAATAATAAAGTACGACAGTAGACAACCGACAAGTGCATCGAAGTAACCAATGCTTTCGTTCGCTGATGTTTACAATATTCAATGGTATTACATGAGAAGTTTTATTTAAGATAAAAAAGATACAGCAAAAAAAAAAAAAAAAAAAAAAAACCCTTCTCTCTATATATATATATATATTCTCTATATAGTTGAAACAAGCAAGACTAGATAAAAGGTTTATATATAATAGTTCATATGAGAATATAAGGAAAACAAATATACGTACAAATACACAAATTAATTAACTCAATAAATATCACAGATATGTTTTTTTTATTAAATTAATTAAGAAAATGAAGGTGTTCTCGCTATTTCTTTGATATAAACAGAATCATCAAGTATTGAGATATAAGCTTTTTCAGCTTCAGCATCTTCTTCTTTCATTTGTTCATGTAATGCAACTAAACGATACCATGTTATAACATCTGGATCACCAACATCCATTGAAAGTGAACATGCATCAATACCATCTTTATTTTTTAATAATGGATTAGCACCACGTTTAATTAAGAGAATAATTGGTCTAGAAATTCAATAATAAAAATTCAAAAAACATTCAAATATTTTATTTATATATGTTTTGTATACCCTCGGCCTTTATGTGCTAATTGTGTTGCATAATGAAGTGGTGTTTTTCCATCTTGATCAGCTAAATTAACTTTTGCATTATTTGATAAAAGAAATTCAGCAGCTGCAACTGATCTCTAGAAAAAAAATACATAAAAAACAAAAACGAAGTTTTCATTAAATATCAATAGTCAATATAAACATACACTTAATATTGCTTGTATTAATGGTGTTCGTCCATGATCATTTTCATTAATAAAATTTTTATCTGCACCCAATGCTAAAGCATGAAGCATCATTATAACATTACGTTGACCAGCTCCTTCATATAAATATGTATTCATATTCCATATTGATGGTAGTTTATCTTGATTAATTATATCATGATCAGGTGTTGTTGGTGGTGTTTTGCTAGATGATAGAAAAATAAAGTAAATAAAAAATATAAGAAAATTTTAATACAAACTTTGATAAGAGTTGATGATGAGATAGTTTTGATGTATTATCATTATTATTATTGGATATTGAACTTTTCATGATATGCGATCGTTTGATAGAACGAGTGAACGAAGGCATTTCATTAGTTGATGGTAATGGATGTAAAAAGGCTTTTTGAACATATTTTGCTTCAATAAATGCTCGACGTGTAACACTAAATAGTACAGATTCGCAGATTTTTCTATCAGAATAGTTAAAAACTTATAAAATCCGCTATTTTCTTTATGTAAGGTTATATTTTATTAAGATAAAATAGGTGTTCTAGATCATGAAAAATTTCTTTCTATAGTATTAGAGATGTGCACTGTGTCTAATGATAATCCTAGAATTTTTTTGAAACCAATATTGATTACAATTCAATTTATAAATGAGTACTAAAATGAGATTCAAAAACTAACAGAATCTCATAGAAAATGAATCTTTTAGTGACTAAACCTATTTTTCTGAGCTTTCCAGCCTTTGATGCACATTCTTTTTTGAAACACGATCTCAAAGCAATATTGAAATATATAGAATGGAAATTTGTACACATTCTTCAGCCATCACACGCAATGACAGACATTACCATGAAAATGTCACAGACATGATCAAAATCTTAGTAGTGACATATTAGAGATAGTGATAAATGTTTTAGCAACACTCGTCCTCGCATCATAGAATATACCAGTGGTTGTTGATATACAACTACACACTTTATATCAATAGCACTTCATTATAATATATGAGCTACTTCCTTATTGCAATTTTGGAAGACAAGTAAAAGAAGTCCGAAAACTTGTATTCCAGAATAGATAGAATCAAACAATCTTTTTGTGATTAGCAACAACATTTACATCACAAAAAAAAATTCTCATTTCTTTGTTTCTTCTCTGAAATTCATATTATAAAAAAAATGCGCTGTATGATCTTACTTATTGAAATGAGATGAAAAAAAAACATTTTCTTTGTATTTATATGGTATGTAATGTTTTCTTGCAAAAATTGTATACTGGTAGAATAAATCTAAAAACTCTAGTTCTCTTTAATACTTACGCATCTGTTTCAGCATTAGGTTTTTGCATTCCGTTTGATATTTGTGCTTCATAAATTTCATTAACAAGTGAATTACCCAATTCAGACATAACAAGTAAGGTTTCTAAATCCCATGTATCCATATGGAGTGAACGAACTTTTGAAAGATTAACACCAAGACCTCTGATTATATAAAAAAAAGAAAAACAATTTGATATTTTACAAATAGAATTTAATTTACCGATGAGCACCACCACAATTTAAACAAAGTAAAATTCCCAAATTAATTGATGCCCATTCTGGTCCATCTGCATTACAATCACAACATTTTTCATTTCCCGGAAGTGAATGTACATATTCAATTTTGTCTTTAATCCTAAAATAAATTCATAATTAAAATTACACAAAGAACAATTGTTTATATACATTTTTTGTTTGAATTCAATTTTTTCTGCTAAGACTGTATTTGAAGAATCATCATTTAATTTTGGTGAAGACTAAAAGAAAATAAACATATTTTTTTAAAATATTATTAATTGAAAAATAAAATAACAAACTGAAGCTGAATTTTGAATATTATCACTTGATGATTTAAATGAATTTTTTATTGCTAATTGTAATGAATTAATCCATTGATCACATTGAACTTGAGAATCAGCTTGAAGTAAATGTGAACTAGAATGAAAAATTTTCAATAAAAAAATTAAATAAATAAATAAATTCTTTCTTTTTTTAACCTATTTGGTGATAGTATTTCAAAAACAAATCGACGATCAATATCATTGACGGAACGAATCGAACATAAACGTAAATCAGGTACCATTATTGACTGTGGTAATTGTTGTTGAGAATTATCATTGGTTGAACTTGCATTATTACGTTTCATATAAAGCAATTGACCATTTCGAATTAAAAACCAACGTCTAAAATGAAGTATATTGATGAATTTCAATGATCTTCTAAGAAAAAAACTGAATTCAATCAAAAATATCCCTATCGCGGAAACTCTTCAGACGTGTTCACTATAGAGAGGTCAAGTCTTTCGCAACAGCAGAGCTTTTCAAAGATATACATACGGTTTCTCAATGCCTGAAAAGTATGGATGAATGATACAGTTGATTCAAGTTTATTGACACGTCTCTTTCCATATATTTTTTACATGGCGTTTTCGAAAAAACTTACTACTATCTGTCTCATAATATAATATGCTACATTTTATTTTTGATAATCATTTATCAGAACATCATAGAGACTTGTGGTTTTCACCATTCAACAGAGAAGACTCGAGGTCATCGATATTTGATTAGTTACTAATTAACCGATCAAGTGACTTCTTGATGGAAATTTATTCGCTTTCGATCGATAGAAAGCCGACATTTCTAGCATGCTTAAGTCTAGAGTTGAGGAACTTTTCCTGAGACCTGTGACTTCAGCCAATCGATCTGCGGTAACCAAGAACAGTGAGTCGAACGTTTATATATATGTGTTTAAATTTTAAACTGATCTGCCACTACTATCTCAACATTTCCAAAATATGGACTTCTTGGTTCTATCGAAGCTGATTGTGGGATTTCAGAAATATTGAAATAATAGAGTCAGACTCTTTATGATAATATCCATCTTGGTATATCGCTGAAAATAATAGCATCTCTTCAGAAAATAATGGATACTCTATAATGAATAGGACAAAACGTTTTCCTCTTTTTTTTAGAGTACTTTTCATAACATTAAAGGCTCTGCTCTAAACTAATTTGATTGAAAGAGTTCTGCTTTTTTGAGCTGTAAATATTTTAGATTATTATATTTTTTTTTATCAACTTAAAAAATTGTCATACGTTTGCATGATCAATGTATGAGTGACAGAAAAATTAGAGAACATTTGAAGATAAAAAATTGTTAATAGTTGAATTAAAATATTCGAGTAGTCTAGCAAAATTCATCGAAAAGAGTCTACGTAATTGAAAACATTCAAAACCAACTAAACTATTAATAAAAAAAAAGTCGAAGCTCATCTTCTTCGAACCAAAAGGAAAATGTCAACAAGGAAATTAGCTAAAATGTATGATGTATCACGTAGAATTATGTAATGTTTAATGACAGTTGACCTAGGATACAAATTAAATATCACATGCGTTGCTTCCACACTTACAGATACTAAAAACACAAAAAAAATTGATATTTGATGGAATTTATAACCAAACAAAAGATATGCGAACATAACAAGATAAAGCACTTGCAAACAAAGATCATTTTCAGGATGACCATTGAACATCGTTTGAATATATCAAAAGCAACATATATATAAGTAACCCGATGAGCTCTATCCAATGATGAAAAAAAAAATTTTTGCTCCACTTTCGCATTGCCGACAGCTTACAAAAAATATAAATATAGTTTTTAAATAAAACATAAGCTTTTAAAAAGTAAAAAATTGTCCAGCAAATGAGACTAAATAGAAGAGAATATTTTGTTCTATTTATTATGCGCATCTATTAAATCTTATTTTCAATTGAAAGAAAATTCAATAACAAACCTGCTCCATGTTTTAAATTTATTATGGGAACGTTTGAATAAATAACCTAAAAACGAAACTATTAACTGCTAATAAATATATAATATTTTTCAATTAACCTTGTTTAGTTGGTTCAACACCTGCTATTGGTGTATTAGGACTATTCGATAAATTTTGTTGAGATCCATTTCGAGGTAAATTTTCTTTTGGCTAAATTTTTACCGAAAAAAAAAAATTTATTTCTAAAACTGAAAAAAAAAGAATAAATTTAACTAACCACAGATAACTGATTTTCTAATGATACTTCAACAGTTCTGTTATCATCAAGATTACACTAAATTAAAAATAAATTATTATAATCAATATAAATGAAAAAAGTAATCGAGCTGAGCAGCAGTAGAAGTATGAGCTTAAAAGTTAGTATTCAATCAAAAAAATAAAATAACCACATCCCAAAAAGAAAGGTCAATAGCCAACAAATCACCTGACGTGTATGGTGATTACGCTGACGAAATGAGAATTTGCCTTTCATTGACAATTGATATGATGTAAACAATGTAGAATATTTGTCTTTATCTTTTGATGGAAAAGTTGAAGACGCTTCAGTTGTTGATGATAAAGACTATAAGATGAGATTAGAATATCAACGAATTTAACTCGATATTTTCTTTTCGAAAAATATCTTTTTCTTTTTTTATTTTCTTTACGTCACGGTTACGCATATTCGATAATCATTCATCATAAGATAATGATTGAAGTAAACAAAAATAAATGAAGCGTAAAGAAATTATCGATGATTTATAAGTATATTTGATTTATTATTCATCGATATAGACTTACTTTTCTTTGATTTGTATCATGAATTTTTTCTAAACTTTTTTGTTTTTGAACATTATCTTGTCGCATTTTTGTTAACTAAAATTAAATTATGAAAAACTAAATAATTTATTTTCTTTTTTCAAATAATATTACTTGTGATGTAATTTTATTAAAATCTCGTTCAGTATCTATTGATAATAATTCATGTCCTTGATGAAAAAATGCTTTGTGAATATTAATATATGATAGTAATAATTCAACTAATTCGATTTTATGTTGATTAAATAAAACATTTATTTGATACGTATAATCGATTGATGTATGACCAAAACAACTACGTGTTGCTATTAAAATTTTACTTGTATCTTCACATACATGAGCTAGAGATCAAAATAAAATATTTATTTATTATATTTTGTAAGAGTAAAAAAAAAACTAAGAAAATTCATTTACATATGTAACAATTATTCAATCAGAAATATGTTTTGAGAAATTGAATGATACTTATCAAGAGATACAAATCATAATATGTTGAATGAAGTATTTATAATGCTTGTTTTTTTTTTATAATAAGTATTTAAAAGATTAATGAATATTTAGCAAGGAACATCGAACGCACGTATTGAGAAAGGAGAGTGACGGCTTTTTTTACCAAGATAAATATTTTACCCGTTTGCTTTGAATATCTGATATATGTAACAGAGATGAGTATAAAATAGCTATTTTTGTACCATTATATATGTTGATCTGCTATGTACGATAAGATCGAACAAATGGTTATTGACACGCCTGTCCTATGCTCAGTTCAGGCATAAAAGCTCATCATTCTAGCTGACTGATTCAATAACTAAAAAGATAATTTATATAAGCAGAACAAATAATATTAATTGACAGAAAAGGATAATCAATATTTTGAAGAGAAATAACTGATTAAGAATATATTTTATCTTGCTTAGTACGATTGGAAAAATTCATAATCCTCTCTTCCATAAAATAAACATTTTTTAAAGATGAACTTTTGTGCGATCGCAAATCAAAAAATTAACTAGCAAAACTCTATAGATTATACGACTATAACAAAAACTAATATCAGGTTTAATCTTAATAGGCTTAAAATCTGAGCTTTATTTTTATCGTAGAAACACCTTCTTACCTCACCAATGCATATGAATATAGTATTATCCTATATTGCTACATAAAAATTCCAGCAAACAAAGCAGAAACGTATAAACATTTTATGTAAACCTTTTCTTTCACCCTTCATTATCCTCAATTCCATTTTCAGCCAAGGTCTGCAAATAGAAATGACCTTATTCGACCTTTGTCAAGGATCTTCTTCTTTCTCATAAGTCAACATTTATTCATAGAAAGTATACATACGTTTAGTTTTTGATGCATCGGCGTTCTTTTGTAAAGCTAAAAAAGAAATTAAAAATCGATTAGCGATAATCAATTTTGAATCATATTTACCAATATCATAATCAGAACTTAAACGTTCAAATAATTTTCCTTGATCTTTTACTTTTTTTATATCTTCTTTTAACATTCGTGTTAATGTTCTTAGAACACTATTTGTTGTTTGTTCAAATAAACTCTAATATGAAAACAAAATCATACAGAATAAAAAAAAACTAGAATTGTTTTTTAATTTGATTTTTATTTACGGAAAAAAGTGCTTGTATTTCACTTAAATATTCACCAAATTTTGCCAAACTTTTATAAGTTACATCATCAGAAGAAAATAATTCACGAACATCATAAATAGATTTAAGAAATTTTCTAAAATAAAATTTATTTAAAAAATGAAGTCTTCTAATTTTTTGGTTTTTATTTTTCATATTCTTACTGAAATTCTTGTACAAATGTTTTCCCATTATTGATTACAGAAGTACATGATTTTGACATCTTATATTACCAAATAAATTTACTATATGACTTATGATTGATTTTTAATTTTACCTGTTCTAAACGATCTTCTAACATATCGATATGATTTGTTGCTTGTCGAAGTTGATTTCTAATCAGAATAGATTGCATAATAAGAGAAAGACATAGGTTGTTATATGTCGAATATTTTCTCCTCGAAAGGAAAAGGAAAAGGAAAAGGACAAGAACACATACCGATAAGCAGGAGAATCTTTGAGACATTCTTCAAAGTCGATTTCGTTCATGATAATCACACGACTAAATAAAAAATAATGAAATACAATCTAGAGTATTAAAACAAAAGATAAGATTATAATGATTAGAACAAAAGTAAGTTTCGTTTTTCTCTTTTTAAAACAAAAAAAAAAAAAGAGAAGAAAACTAAATCGATCTCATTGTAATCGACACATCTTGATATCTATTGTGATGATATAGTCAAGGATGGTTGTTTCTTTTTTTTCTTTCTTTGATTATATAATCAAATAGATATTTGGTGCGGGGGTATAATTGTCACATTTGCTAATGTTTGCCGATAGCTAGTCTATTGGTTTGTTTCTTTATATTTGGTCATTGTATAGAAATCTATCTATGTGTATAGTGAAAGAGAAAATGAATTGTTATAGTTGAAGAAAAGAAGAAAATAACACATGTTTGTTATAAAAGAGAACTTGACCTATTGTCAGAATCGATTACACGGAAGCTACTTACTCAATTGATTGTGATAGTTGATTCAATTGGTAACTCGTTGTTACACTGACATAATGTAAAAACAAAATAAACAGAGATATAATCTAGAGAAACATATGGCAAAGTACATGGAACATTTTATATCTATCGTCTTTATCACAGTTACTATATAAACACTGATACATTATACAACTTCATCATCTTAATAATTGCTCATATATCTTTCATAATCTATACCAAAGAAAAGAGGAAACATTCGAGCTCATGCTGTTAATAAATAACCTTTTACTTGATATTTTATGCATAACACATAGTTAAGTGTATGATAACTACTTTTTTATTTAACAAAAAAAACAGCAATACGCATTCGATAATTCAAAAGAAGAACAAGTCAAAATGAAATCATCTTGATTCTTATTTTAAAAAATCATTGAAAGACACATATACACTACTTTTTCTTTTTAACAAATAACAAATTCCTTACAAAGAAAATAGCTTTTCATCACTAATTTATTCACTATTCTTGGCATCAAAATCTAATGTACTTCAATATTTTTGAATATCTCGAGAACAAAAGCAGCTAGAAGTCTACAGTTTTCACTATTCGAAAGAGAGATGTGAAGAAGCTAAAAATTTGCTGTATTATCTCTTGACTTCAGCTAGTCAGTTTTTGCAGTCTAGCTTTGGAAGATTTGTATAGACTAAATTTCAAAAATCATGATTCAGCAACTTAAGGTCATATTAAAACTAAAAAACAAATACCAACATTGAACTCAGTGTATACGAATACACGAAACTCAATACAGTTTAGAAAGACTAGTATAGTTAGTTGACTGATTCTAACGTTTTCAGTAAAACGTGTATTACTTCAAAACGTAAGAAACTAGAGAGTTCGATAAAGAAATGCCTTCGATATTGGATCTCCTAATTTGAAATCATTGTTAGTTGAGTGAATGTTTTTTCGAAAAATTCTGATTAAAAAGTCTACAGCAAATTTTCACATTCTTCGTATTTCTCTTTCAAATGGTGAAAATCGCGAGTTTTCAGTTATTTTCGTTCTCGAGATATTCAAAAAAATATCGTAGTGTATTAGATGATTTTGATGTCGACAATAGTAATGTAAACAAAAAAAGTTATGAAAAACTGAAACTGAACTCAACTATCTCAAAGTCGGCTGAATTTCATCTAACTCGTATCTAGTTACGCCATAAAAGATTCACTATTAATAAAACAAAATAAGAATTTGTTATTTATTCAAAATAAATCAATCACGTTTATCTTTTATCTGTTCAGTTACTACAGCTTCTTCCCATGCGCCACGTATGGATCTAAAAAATAAAAATTTTACTTTTAATTAAAAAAATTCAATTCTTACATTTTATATTTTTGTAATAAAACAAGCCATAATGGACAAAGAAATGTCAAAAAAATTATAGCTAATATATATAATATAGTATGTAATATCGACAGATGAGATAAAAGTAGTATACATCCAATGATATGTACAATTGTTAATAGTGAAAATATACGAAAACTTGATTCCTAAAAAAAAACCAAAAAATCCAATAATTTTTTCAGAAATTATTTTCTTTTTATTACTTTAATATATTTTCTTAATTCTGGCCATAAAGCAAAAACAAGTACAGCTGATGTTACTAAACAAAATGTATGGAATGACGTTGACAACCGCGATGCAAGACAAACAGATGAAAATAAAGCTACGCTAAATGATAATGCTTTTTGTACCCTAAATATTCCGAAAGAAAAACAAATGGATATTGAATATTATGTTTGTGTAAAGATTATTACATTGCTGTTTCAGCTCCATAATCATAAAATATTAAATGAGTTAATATCATCAATGTACTCATTGCATAAATTGTATCTGTACTTATTGTTTTCGTTAATGTAAAAACAACAGGTGAAACCATTGAACCAAATAAAAGAAATATTAATAAAGTTTTCAAATTTTCTTGTACTATCAAAAGCAAAATATTAAAATAATTTTTCAACATAAAAGGAGAAAAGATACAAGTTTTTTTCTTTTACATAATTTTATATTAATATGTCTTCGATACAGAAATAAACCAATAACACCAATTAATGCATTGATAATTAAAATATTTCTCGGATGAAGATAATCATTATCCAAATGAATAAAAAGTATTATAAATAATATTACTCTAAAAATATAAATAATAATAAATAAATATCGTAAATATAATACTTACAAGCTTACTTGTTGAGTTATTAAACCAGATTCAGCTACTGTTGACCAATAAATATGACGATATGATGCTGAAGATATAGAATGATTTATTTCACTATTCATTTTATATATATGATCATCATCAAGAATTTTAAAATCACGAGGAGATACATCATATAAAACTTTTGGATATGAACTTGAAACCATTTTTTTATTTTCTGTTGTTTTTTTTGAAAAATGAATGCTTGATTCATCATTGACATATTCATCATTCATCATTGTTCTGTAGACCTGTTGGTTATGTTTTAATAACCAGTTGATCTTTGACTGTCACTAGATGTCGATATATTTCATTCAGTGATGATATTCTTTGTATGAAATTAAGAATGATATTGATTCATTTACAGATTATAATACGAACATATATTGAGTATGAAAATTCTTCAACACAATTTTTTTTCGTTGCTGTAAACCTTAGAAAAAAATATATATTGTGATTTGAATAGAGACAATTTCCAATAAGAATATAAGAAAGTCAAAATCATTATTAAATTCGTAGGGATAGGAATTCCAGAAAATCAATATCCTAGTTTTTTAACAACTAGAGTGTATAAAAATTTTAAAATACTGCATAGAACTATAGAGTAAAAAATGCTCTACTAAATGAGACATTGTCGAATTCCCTCTGACGTCCTTCGAATGAAATAAAACAATTCAATTGAATGTCAACAAACGGTTTTCATATAGGAAGTTTGGAAAAATAGCTATAGGACGTCCATAACATGCCTGTATCTCAGCTAAAAAGCGTCATAAAGAATCATTTGTTCTATCTAGTCTAAACAAAATGATATCTACTTATTCTTGATGTTGAAAAACTAACGTTTTAGTTTTCTGAAGTTTCTGTGTTTACGAATTTGATAATAATTTTTATTTCCTTATATTCATTTTGGAAACAATGTTCTCTATTCGAATCACTTTTTCAATTCTTTATAACGCTTACGACAGATGCAAAAAAATTGAAAATAAATCTTGTTGAATAGTTTTGTTATTCATCGTATAAATCATTGCATACAAAACGGAATATACTAACTAGAGACTGAAAACGAATAGAAACCGAACTGGATTTAAGACAATAACAACGAACCAAAGTGAATTTGAATCAGTAGAACTCGGTTCGATTCGGCCTATGAATTAATAATCAGAGAAATTTCATTGATGTTAGGCATAAGCGAAGAACTGTACTTACAATCATCGTGAGTTGATATTAATAGTGACAATAAATATATCTTTGCTTTTCATGTCAAAAATTACTTTTAATATAAAGCATAATACTGCATGCTCTCGCGAATAATTTCAAACGTATTAAAAAAGAATACTTTAACAGTATTGTCGAATATGAACGACTTGAATCATGCAATAAGAATACGTTCATGATCATTATTAGAAATATATGTCATCACAATGTTATATAGCAAAAAAAACATTGAATTGCTCTTTAAAAAAAATGATCTGAACATTCAAACTCAAGGTAGTTAAAAATAGTGATGCGAACAGAATACAACTCAAGTTGGGAAGCTCAGCCTTGTAGTCCTGTTTGCAGAGGAAGGTTGTCTGGTAACGCTTCTGAGAAAGAAGCTCGATCTATTTTCAAGCGGAATTAAACCGTTAGAAAGAAGAGGACTGAATCCTCATTTGTCCTCCTTCTAATTATGCCCCTGTCTAATCGTTTCTTATTGTTATATACAGTTGTTTTTAATAACGTTACAGCTAAATGGTACATCAACGTCGGCAAAATAAGAATATTCTTTCAGAAAAGTAGTAGAAACTCCTAATGATTCATCCATCTATGTCATATTTAATAAGAAATAAATAATAGAATATCAACAACAGATGTTTTTTTCCATTATACATGAATCATTTTTCAGTTGTAGAAACTTGCGAATAAAATGATGTATGATTATGACTAAAATGAATATTCATGGTCTTGCAAATTTTAATTGAAAGAAAGTCAAAAATAAATATTATATTGTATAAATGTACTTAATGAATAAACAAAAAAGAAACCAAGCCCTGTCTCATCTTATGAATATCGAATTTGAAACCGTATGCATTGAGAAAAGAATTTCAGCTTTTCAATTAGATTTTATTACTATTATTAATGAAACATCTTTTCACAAATCTTGATCTTGATAAACCATAAACGATAATTTTAAATAATTACCGATTCGTTCCGTTCCGAATAGAATTTTCGTGAACATTTTTGTATAAAGCAGAGACCTAAATGAGCAGAAAAGTTTTCATTCGGATTCGATTCGCTTCACATTCAATTCAAAAACGATATTATGTGAC